ACCCATGGCTCCTGGGAATGCTCTGGAGAAGCCTCGGGGCCACGGAACCCTCCCATGATGTCTGGCCACCCTCAACGTCGGGTTCCGTCCTACTCCCACCTCTGACCCAGCTCAGGCCATCTGGGGGCCCGGCCGGGTGGTCAGAGAGCCAGCAACTGAGTAAGAAGCCGGCTGCCTCTGGTCTGCTGCCCTGAGGCCAAGCTGTGACCTGGGCCCGAGCCATGTCCACGGGCCAAGAAGGTAGCAGTTATAGACCTCACTCTCCGTGGGGGACAAAGCTGAGGGCATCTCAGGAGCCAGGACAGCCAGTGAGGACGCGAGTCCTCTCTAGGGCCCAGCCCAGCTCCAGCTGCTTGGGGTTGGAGGTGTGCTTTGCCCCTCTGTTAAATTAATATGCCTCAGCCCCTCCCCTGACAGGGCCCTCTCCTCTGCCCCACTGGCTTCGTCCTCAACCTGGCAAGTAGGCAGCGGTGTGCTGTCCCTCCAGGTGGGGAACCTGCTTTGGAGCTGGGCACAGAGAGTAGGGCATTTTCCGAGGATTTTGCTGGCCCCCCCTTTTTTTTCTCTGAAATATAAGGATGTGCAATTTTTTTGGTTTCAATTTAGCTTTGGAGAATTTTATAATTTAGTAATTAAAATCTCTGATAGGCTTTAGAAATTGCGGCTAATTGAATTTAATGGGAAGATGATTTTCAATTTTATTTGATTACCGGGACCCCTGGCATCGGTATTTATGGGAAAAAAATGGGAAATGTGCTGTGTGGGCTAAGATGGCATAATTGAATTAGGGATAATCGGATTTCTCCGTCATGAATTTCACTATAATTTTCCTATAATTTTCCATTAGATATCTAGTTTACAAATATTCACAAAGAAATGAAGCTCTTTCGGAATGGAGATTGCTGGCTAACAGGATTACGGGGCTGAGCGTGTGGCCGTGCCAGCCCCTAGGCCGCCATAATGCGATCCCTGTATCTGCCTTACACTCAGCTCAAGCCTGGCCTCAGCCCCTCGCTCCGCCACCCACTTTGCTGTGCCTCTCTGCTCTTTGTTACCTCTTCATCCCCGTTTACCCCCTGCCCCGATACCCACCCATCCGGGGCCCATAACCTCTCGTGCCCTACTGGCAGGCTATCCCATCCCCGTGCCATGGCATCTGGGCTCTGCCCTCCATGCCCACCATCCTTCCCATCCACACTTTGCTCACTCAAGTCTCCCCCTGACCCCTCCCGCCGCCCACCTGGGGAGTGCACTCACACGCAGGCACACAGACTCCCCACAGGTGCGAACATGCTTGCTCACATGTATCCGTAGTCGTCTGGCCAAGGCTCCTGTGTCCTGGCCCAGTCGCCTCAGAGGGAACCAGTTTATTGGGATCCTGGGGTGGGGTGCAGGAACAAAAGGAGCTTTGTTCAAGTTTATGTGAAAGTTACAAATTCAAAATGAGAGCAGATAAAGCATGAGATACCTGGTGTGTAAATAGGCTGGTGAGTGAGAAGGAGAGAATGAGTGGGCAAACTGGGGATGCGAGGGCGCCGGGAGCCAGTGAGGGAAGGTTGTCCTGGGACAGCTGACAGGTTCTCCTGGACCCGTGTGAGGGGCCCGGTGGGTGGCATTGCTGGGCAGGGCTCCACGTTTTCCCTTGGAGGTGGGGTGTGAGAAGAGGAGCTGGTGGCTCTGGGCCCAGGCCCTCGAGACCAGGAGGAATTGTGGCACTGGGCTTTCCATTCCCCGGGCCCGAGGCACAGAAACTGTGGCCTGGCCTCAGGGTCGAAGAGGTGTTACCACATCAGGGCTCTCAAGGCAAAATGGGCCATAGACTCAGAGGTGCCAGGGTTCTGGGCCTTGGTATGAGTACACACACGGAGAGAAAGAGAAATCGGGGGACCCCTCCACGACACGGCCTCAGCCTTCTCAAATCTCAAATCATAACATGCTAAGATGGCCTCGTTTTCTGTGCCTCTCAGGAAGGCCCCTCGCCCTTGGGCAGAGCCTCTTAAGCCTGCAGTGGCTGATTGTGGCCATCGTCTTGGCAGAGCTGAGGCTCTCTGGGCAGCTCACGCCTCCCTCTACCACTGGCTTTGCTTGGCGAGTCCCTCTCGCCCGCCCTGCCTGTTCCGCCTTCCATCCGGCTTTCTCAGTTCTATCCCTTCAGCCATTCCTCTCCAGCCTTTGTCCACCAGAGGCCCCCAAGTTATTGTGCAGCCAATCCTGTTGGTCCTGCGTGAGTGACTGGAAGGCATGCCCTCCCATGCCCTGACCACCATCAGCAGAAGCCCAGAAGGACATTCAGAGGGAGCCCCTAGGCCGTGTGGGTCACATATGCAGGGAGCTCCCCATACGTGCACATTTCAGATGCACCCAGAGATCACCCTTCTACCCCTAGGTCTTCAGGCTTCCTTCAGGCTTCCAGTTGCTCAGATGGGGAAGCAGACACTTCAGGATTGGGATTTGGGTTTGACTGACTGCTGTTACAACCCAAAGCTGTAAGCCTTGCTTTGGGGAGTCATGGGTGGGAGAACCCAGCGGCATGTGTGTACCCCAGAGCAGTCCTGGACACCGCAGTGCCCTCTCTGAGATCCCACCTGGGGAGAAGCTCATGGTCCTTGCTGCCTGGTCGCCCGGTGCCAGCAGTTGTACCAGCCTCTGGGGAGCACAGGGCTTGGTTTGTTTAAGGAGCTCTGCTCCCTTGTTCAGGGTTTTAGGACTGGGGGACACTCAGAGCTCCTGGGCCTCTCCAGCTACTTGTCCTCCATAGGCATGGGGCAGGTCTGAAGGGTAGAGGGTTGTGTGACAACCAGGAATGGGGGTTGCCAAGAAGGCAACAGGGAGAGCAGTCGAATGGGGGAGGGATGCTAATCTCCCTGTGAGGCCATTTGGAACTAAAGTGCAATTAAAAAAGTAAATAAGTAAATAAAGGGAGAAGAAAAATAAGGGGAAAGTGGGAAAAATAGTAGATTGTTAACTCCCTGACTTGCCCCAAGGCCTCCCTGGGCCCTTCCCTTTGCAAAATAGAAATATTGCAAAAATAGTCCAGCGCCATTTTGCTGAATGCTGCTGGAAGACCAGAGTAAAGAAAGCCTGGGTTCTGGTCTCCTCCCCTCATTGAAGGCAGTGTGGCCTCCCCTGAAACAGGAGAGGGGAGGAAGGCAGCAGGGTGGCTGCAGAAGGGACAGACGGAGAGCTGGGGACAGTGAGATCCAGGTACTTCACAAGCAAAACTGCCCACCTTCCTGCTCGCCTGCCTCTTTCCTTGCCTCCTATCCAGTGGGTAACTTAGATGACTAAAATTTCAGGAATCTCAACATATCTGGCTGCAGCAGGGACATCTGGGGACCGAAAGATACACCTAAGTGCTTTCTCTGAGGGGAAAGGAGGGCAAGGAGAGAAGTTGCCCTGGTCCAGCGATGAACTGGCAGACAGGAAATGCGGCGATGTCAGAGGGGGCAGGTGGCAGGACGCTGGCTCCTTGGTTGAGGGTTGTCTGTGCCCTGTCTGCCACGGCCCCGCATGGGAGGTGGCAGAGGCAAGAGGGCCGGTTGGCAGCCCAAGTGACAGCGCGGATCCGTGGTGGGGGCCCTCGGAGTGCAGGCGGCCAAGGCAGGGCGAGGGAGGAAGGAGGTGCCGTCCCCACTGCGGGGCTGGGGGCGGAACTGCGGGGCAGCGGGAGGAGGAAGGCCTGGAGAGCAGTGATGTGGCGCGGAACCGGGGTCCACCCGGAATCGGGATCGGGGAGAGGGAGCCAGGGCTCATTTAAAGGCGAAGCCAAACCAAAGTGGCGCAGCCCTGGGGGTTCCCGCACTCGTGAAGCCTGCGGCGGGCACGGTGTGCGGAACAGCGCGAGGCCGATGCGAGTGTTCCCCGGGACACCCAGGCCCACGGCCCCAGAGTCTTTCCTCTTCAGAGCTAAAAAACACCACCGCCAACAGCAACAGGAAGAGATTCAGGGATGGGGAGGAAACGAAACGCCTGGTACCCCAGCACCCAGAGCCCGGGGGGCCCGTCCCCGGGCGCCGAGTCCCCGCCTCCCTCCTCCGAAGTCTAAGGTTTGGGCAATCGCTGAGCCAATAAGGCTGGCCGCCCGGGCCGGTGCGCTGAGGCCGCGCGCACGAGCGTGAGGGAGCGGGCGCGGGGCGAGGGCGCGCGCGTGAGGAGCGCGCGCGCGCGAGGGGACGGACGGAGGCGCGCCTGAAGGAGCGGGCGCGGGGCGGGCGAGCGCGAGCCCATTCACTCCAGCCTCCCGCGGGCGGGCGCGCGCGCGGGCGGGCCGAGCTCTGCTCTTTCACCTGCCGGGGCGGTGCGGGCTGGGCCGGGAGGAGGCGGTGCCGCGACCGCCCTGCCAATCACCTCGGCGCCAGGCAGCGCCCCCGGCCGCTCCCGCCCGCCCGCCTGCCCGCTCCCTCCTGCCAAACTGTTACCGTGAGTGTTACCGTCAGGAGCAATGACATCAGGGCTTTAAAACAACTTGTTATTCGGGGAGTAATCAGTCGCAATTAGGCATTAATTAAGTATTATGAAAGTTGATTATTTAAGTGAATTCGGCTTTCGACTCTCCGACTATGGTGAGTACCGGAGTGGGGCGGGGAGGGCAGGGGGCGCCGCCGCGGGGCTCCGACCCTGGCGCGGGGGCGGGGGCGGCTGGAGCGGGGCCGGGCGCGGGCAGGGGCTCCCCTCGGCCTCGGGGGCCGGCCGGGTCCCCCGACCCGGGCCGCGTCTATAAATAGTTTCTCTTGTAGTTTAATAAACTCGAGAGCAGAGAGGAGCTGCTTTGAGTGTGCAGTGCCGGAGCGCCAGAGAGAGAAGGGCGGGAGGGAGAAACTTTCGCTCTCCCTCCGGGTCTCCCTTCTCATCTCTCCCCCAGGCCCGGGGACTTGACCGCCCCTCGATGGGGGAAGGGTGCGGAGAGCGGAGGGGGAAAGCTGGGGTGGGTAGTGGGGGGCACTGCGAGAGACTAAACAGATTTCTTTTCTTTCCTCTTCTTTTTTTGGCGTTCCTCGAAGAGTTTGGGACCAAAGAGAGGAGAATGGATCTTGGTACAGGTACCGGCCGGTGGGAACCAGGGGTGGCTCTTTCACTTTTCTTTCGGTTCTTTTACGGAAGTTATTATTTTTAGCCCAATGAGGTAGCAGCTGAGCGGGGCGCGGGGGGGGGGGGGGGGTGCTGGTCTGGAGAGGGTCCGGTGCGGGCTGCGCTTCTTGCCTGGGTTTCTGGATTGTGAGGCTTCCGATGATATTATTGTTATTATTTGTTACTTGCTTAGGGACTGTGACTAATTTGATGCTTGTCATTGTGAAAGAACCTAGGGGAGAGGGAGCTGGGGGGCACACAGAGAGAGGATTTAGGGGGTTTTCGTGGGGTTTTTGGTTTTTGTTCTCCGTGTTTTTTGAACGGCTGCGTGTTTTTTCTGTTTTTTTTTTTTTTCTTCTCCAGCAAAGATCTCTATGTGTCCGGCTGTGGGGTGTGTGTTTTTATTTTTTTAGTGGGGGATGGTTTAGTTTTTGAAAGCAGCGTCCTGTTGGGAAAGGCGGTTAGTCTGGTTTCGGGGCGACTCTCTCAAGGTAAAGGAATTTAATTTATGTGGGACAAGGCTGCGTCGGATGATCAAGCTGCTTATTATGGCTAATGAGTATTTTTCACCTGAGAATCCGTGGGATGAGGCGGCTGTTATCAGTTCAAAGTGAGGGGCCCAGGACTCTCTCCCATCCCCTTTTGCCCCTACTCTGGGAGAGGGTAGACTAGACAAACTACTGAATTTGGACCTATGGGTTTTGGGGGGCCTAGCATGGCGCCTAGGTTAGGGTTCCACATAGCATAGTGCTGGCCTGGAGCAGAGTTTATGCTGAGATTTTGGTGTGTTATTGGTTTTAATCTAATTGTATTCAACATTTCTCTTCTCTTCCTATCTGAGGTTCCAATCTGAGTCCAGAGTGAGGTTTACTTTACGTTCTTCAGGCTTTCCCTTAGCCCTCTGTACTGAAATGGAATTTTGACCAGGCCCCTCATCCTAGGCTGACAAGAGCGCTGTCTTCTTGCTAAATGTCTTTAAAAGAAGTCAGTGATAAACAGGTTCATAATTCATTGAGATTGATCTCTGAACCCTTCTGTTTCATTTATAGAAGGTGGTATGGGTGACTGTTAGAGTGGTTGTTTATAACGGCCCAAGTTCATGGCATTGCCCCTTGGGATCCATGGGCTGACATTTGACCTCCTGAAGTGAAAAAGAAGTGGGCAGAGAGGGCAGGAGGCAGCACTAGGGGGCCCAGGATGGGTGACAGGACATGGCAGCGGCTTTGGGAAGGAGAGAAGTGTGTTTGTTGGGGAAGGAATATTAATACTATGTCCAGCCAGGTGTGATCTTGGAGAATTCGATGTGGAGGTCCTGGGGACCTCTGTGCCCAGGAAAGGTGTAACAACCCCTGCTGGGCAAAGTGATTAAGGTGTCTAAGGCCACTGCTGCCACCCTGCCCCTCCCTGCCCTTCACTCCCACAGAGAAGCAGCCCCCCCCACCTCTAATCAGGTGTCTCATCGCCTCCCTCTCAGGCCCCACCCCCTTTCTTCAGAAATGGGCCCCCCCCATCCCAGCTAAAAGCAGACCTTATAGATGGGCCGGTGGTGGTAATGCACCACCCCCTACCTGGGACAGGTGAGCCTCTGCTTCTGGGCAGGCACAGGGGACCTAGGCATTACTTGGCTGGAAGTTGGGCCCTCAGCTTCCTCCTTCTAACCCAGATGCCAACTGGAGCTGGAGTCCATCCTCCTGCCCTATACCCACCTGCTGTCGGGGCACGACTCCAAAGCCCTTCTGTAGGGTGTCCCCGACTGGAGAGAGGGCCTCCTGGGCCTGCAGGTGGCAGAACCTCTTGTAGCATCTTTCCCAGCACTTACTTCTCCCAGCCCTCTAGGGACAGGCTCTGGAAACTTTTCCTAGAAGTTAGAAGGGCCCCTGTGGTCAGCTCTGGTCCCTCCCGTAGCTGGAGCAGGGCCTTCCCAGCAGGACCCAGGCCTGGACTCTGGCCGCTCAGTGAGAGGAGGTCCAGGGTGTCAAAGTTCTGACTGTTTCCTGGAGAAGTCATCTGGTGATACCATCTCAGCTTTTTCTTCGAACTTGAAAGTTTCCCTTAATCTCAGAACTTCAGAAGAAAAGCACTTTTTCCCCTCTTCACAAAAAAAGGGAAGCAGGTGGGAGCTCTGAGATCCCCTCTGAGCCTGTCTCTGGGCTCACTGCGTGCTCATCTTTCCTCAACCTCTGGGATGTACTTCTGCACACAGCCAGGGCCAGGGCCCTCGTTTCTGGCCTGGACTCATTGCTGATGTGATGAGGGGCTCTCTTCTCTTGGGGGACCACAGGCAGCTTCTGCCGAGGGCCTCTCTAGCACAGTACAAGGCTGGAGACACAGGCCCCAAAGGGTTGCTGGCACCAGGGACCCAGTAAACGTTGGGTCGTGGGTTAACATCACTCCGGATCTAGGTTCTGAAGCATTGCAGCCATAAGCAGTTCGGTGGTGGGAGAACCAGGGCTTCTCAGGAGGGGACAGCAGAACCTCAAGACCCTCAGAGGCCATGTGGACCCCTTTTTTTCTACCATAGTTCAGCCAAGGGCTGGATCAATCTGGAGGTCTTTAGCAATAAAAAATGCCGATGTCGTCCTAATTCACCAGGCCCCGAGATGACAGCAAATTTACATTTTTTAATTAAACTAGCAGCCAGTTTTTATGAGAGGGGGTTGGGTTATGCAAATCAAATGGTTGTGTACGGAAGATTAGGAGAGTTTGGGAATAAATTCCACAAATGCTAATAAAAAAAAAAAGGAAAGAGAAAGAAAGGGAGGGAGGGAGGAGAGAGAGGAAGAGAGGAGGACATAGTTCCATTAGACCCTTTTAGAGTGATTTCCCTGGGGGAGGGAGTCAGGAGGGGGAGGGGAGGAGGGAGGAAGCTTTCAGACACAGGTAAATCCATGCTGCAGTTGGGAAGCTCCCCAGGATTAGGCCCCGCTAGGCTGATTCCTAGGCCCTGAAAAAAACTGGAGGCCAGGGCGAAAAATGGCTTTGAAACAGCAGTAGAGCTTTGAGAAGGAACTTGCCCTTGATTCTTGAGGATCTGGTTGTAATTGCCCCCACTCTCCCTAGGGAGGTCTTGAGGAGAGGGGGAGGGGCTGTCCAGGGCTAGAGCTGTCCATCAGAGGATCCAAGGTAGGCTCTGCCAGGTAAAGGGCCAAACAGGCAAGAGAGCAAGTTCAAAGGGCTGACCAGGGACCACAGGGGGAGCCCTGAGGGGCACCACTGCCCACTTGGCACTGTGGCTGTAGCTGTGTTGTCAAGGTGAGTCAGGGGGAGGGATCAGTGCTGCTCACTGAGCCAGGCCTGCTTCTTTTTCCCTGGGATAAGCTCTGCTGGGACTCTAGGCCTGGACCCCCTTACATTGCATACAGACCAACCCCCCGCCCCGGCACCCCACATTGTATCCTGGCCCCAGCCTCGGCTGTGGACGAGGCCAGTAATGATGGAGTCAAGGGAGCTGAGACATGTTGGCTTAGTAGCCTGGTTCTTGGAGTGGGATGTCCACATGCTGGCCACGTGCTTCGCGGACACACAGTCTCAAGGAGGGGGGAGGAAAGGCCGCAGGCTTCGTCCAGGCAGTAGCTGACCCCAGAGAGCAAAGAATTTGCCTTCCCCAACCCAAAGCTGCTGCTCTGAGTGTCAGCCCACCTCCAGACTCTCAGGACTGCTGTGAGCCATTGGTTCAAGGCCAGGGCCTTGCCAGGAGTGGAGGCTTCTAGGAACCTTGCTGGCTCTGGTCACACTGGGGCCTGGGAAGGTTTTTGTGCTGTTTCTGGAGGAAGAGAGTCCATGCTGAGTTTGGGCCAGAGCAGGTTGTCCTCAGTTTTTCTTCCTTGAGCCTTTACTTGGCCAGGTACACCCACTCAACCAGTCTAAGCTGGGGCCAGTCCCTACGGTCAGGTTGGGCACTGGTTTTGCCAGTCTGCTGCAGGGGGTAGGTGCTTCGGTGCCATCTTGGCAGGAAGAAGGAGTCAGAGCCAAGGACAGGATGGGCTGTCTCCAAACTCGCAAGTTTCCTGGTCCCGTTCAGAGGCCGGCTGTGACGTTTGGAGGGGCATGAGCATCGGATGACCTTTAAGGTCTCTGGTTGTCCAGCTCCCAACCTGATTTTACTGAGAGGGTTCAGTGGGGCATCTTGGGGGACGGGTTGAGTGGACGAGGTGAGAAGCACACATTTGGACCTTCTCTTTGGAACAAAGCATTCGAGACAGGCAGCTCTGGATTGCGAAGTGGCCACTTGAACCAGCCCTGGCACTGGTTATAAGATATCAGAGCAAAACTCTGGATATAAGGCCTGCAGTAGCCATTCTCCAACAGGAGGCAGAGGCAGCGAGGGCAGGTCTGAAAGATCCCTAGAGGGACCCCATCCCGGGCCCTTTTTCCCTTGGGGATCAACCAGGGGAACCCATTAACTCTCCTGTCTAAGAAGGTCACTGGGTCCAGTTAGTCAGACCTCTCTGAGGGCTTCACCGTCACTGCTGGTGTTCCCCCATCCCCCAGAGCCAGGGAATCCGGCTGAGTTGCAGCTTGGGTTTTTATGATGGAAAAATAAAATAAATGGAGGCACCTTTGGAGGGCTGAGTCACGGCAGCAGCATCTCCTCATTAAAGCTGCTGCCCCTGGCTCAAGTCCCTGGGCAGAGGATTGGGTGGGACCCAGGAGGCTGTGGGCCCAGGCTTCCCCTCTTCCTGGACCCTGCCAGGTTAGTGATGCGCCTGCCCCCTCCGTCAGCCTCCTCTGCCTGGCCCACCGTTCTTAGAAGAGTCGCCATTTCTTTACCCCTGCTCCCCACCCTAGCTCTCCCACCCCAGGCCCCAAGGCTTGTCCTTTACACTGCCCTCCCTAAGCTGTTGCTTGTTTTTTTTGTTGTTGTTTTTTTTTTTGCGGTACGCGGGCCTCTCACCGTTGTGGCCTCTCCCGTTGCGGAGCGCAGGCTCCGGACGCGCAGGCTCGGCGGCCACGGCTCACGGGCCCAGCCGCT